AGTATACAACTATTCTAGTCCACAGTATTAATGTTCTATCTGTTCCGATACACTATAATCTGTATTGTTTTCCAAGCAGCGTATGGCGCCAAATTTTTTCAATACAATAATAAAGAATGAACAAAGCGTTATTGTTACACGATTTTGAATAAATCCGCCGGATTTTGACTTTTTTCTAGCATTTTTAACCTGGCGCCTGTGACTACGTGTTTAGATTACGTTGCATATATAATAGATAAGCTAATAATGCATTTTGTAGGATATTGTTCGAGTATTCAGATTCGCAATGGAAGCTCATAACTAAAAACATTAATTTATCATTGACTTTTAATATGAATAGTTAGACATTCTAAGTTGCACTTTAATTAAAACAATTTTAATGATTTAAAACGCAAAATATTTATATTAATTTGTTTTTAAGTACGAACTGATGTTTCAGATGCTATGCCGCTCCCGGGGGACTAAAGATTGTGGGTGGCCTTAATGTTAAAATCAAATTTAAATACTATCTGTAGTTTACTCGACTAGTAAAAATTTAAATAAAACGCTTTGGCTTAAACGACTTAGTTAAACTTATTTGAAAATTATGTCAAATTTACGATGCTAGCGACATTTGTTTCTTCATCGTGCATACTTAGAACTAGCTGCGTCCTTTGTGCTGACTTTTAATCTAGAATATTAAGGAGCTTAAAAAAAGGAATACAAATATAGTCCTACACAAGATAAACACGGTAAAAAAGGAAGAAAAAAACCCTATTTTCAGGCCTAACGAATGTACATACTTACAAAATTTTACTAAAACCTATTTACAGTTTCTAGATAAATGTTTGATACACAAATAAAACAAATAAATTTAGAAACTGGTAACATTAGACATAGGTAAATAAAAAAAAAGAAAAGCTTAACTGCTTCAAAATATCAGTGAATTTAGTTGAAAAGTTACATCAAGGAAACCGCGCCATCTAATTCTATTTTCATGTTGTATTTGTGATGCTAATGCGTCCGATGCGATGCGTTTATAGCTAGTGATGTTCTCAACGTAATTAAATATACTTGTTACTTATAATTTTTACACACAATACCTACTAAATTATCTTGAAGCTACGAATATTCGCACTACTTTTTTTACTACACAAACAAACATTAAGAATTAAAGTACTTATGTTACGAAGTAGTCTTATTCCCTTAATAAATAAGTTCCCATATGTTTTTATAAATATGTAGTTGATATTAATGTTAAAGAATATATCACCTTATTCGGAAATCCACAACCGTACATATTTTTACCCAAAAAAGTTAAAATTATCTTTTAATTGGACATGAAATCTAAAACCTATACTTTCGTAAAATTGGCAACACATAAGTTTAACACAAAATTATATAATATGAATCACGTACATAATGAAAAACGAATATGCCCTTTAAATAAAACACTAATGGTTTAAAATATTAGTCAATCTTGTTGACAATTATTTTTAACTACGGCCCGACATTTCGGATGCTTTGCAGTAGCTGTTGTACGGGGAAATTAAAGATAGGAGGGTGTTTTTAGTCGTAGGTGATATTTGGCGGTAATTTGTAAATAAGTTTTACTAATATATTTCGTGTTTTGAAACCGTTAGAGTGTTTATTTAAATGTGTACTACTCTCGTAAACTACAGATTGTATATCTTCGTGTTTTGAAACCGTTAGAGTGTTTTATTTAAATGTGTACTACTCTCTTAAACTACAGATTGTATTGATGTGACACGGGCACAACACTAGTCGGCAAAGCGAGCATTCGATGCATAAAATTCATATTCTCGTGACACCCTTGACGAGTTTTGACAAACCCCATTGCGCTAGCTCTTGGGGGATCATGATACTTGTACAAACGCTTAACTTTGATTGATGCGCATTTCAATTCACCATTGTTATAAATTAATGCCTATTTTCGAAGTTCGCACTTTGCCTATAGCCTATTACGAGTAAATTATCGAACAAAGGCACCTCCAAAGACGCTGGACCCAGTTCCATATATCCTCATATCGTGGTAAATTCTATATATATATTTAAATAAAACACTATAACGGTTTAACGGTTTAAAACGCGATATATTAGTTAAACTTATTCGAAAATGATTTTTAACTTCGGCCCGACGTTTCGGATGCTTTGCAGCAGCCGTAGTCACGGGGAGACGTTAAAGTGTTTTATTTAAAACTCGCGTTATAGTATAGACAGCATTACAAACCTTGTATCCCCCCAAACTCGGACCACACCGGCCAGATACCACTGAGCCAGTTCGTACAACAATTAATCCAGTACAAAGCGAATCTCGGTGGGCGTGGCTGAACATTTGGCGATATGACTTTGGGGCGCGTTCGTTTTATAATTGATCCGGGGACAAATGGCCTTTTGTTGCAAAAGCTTATTGTGGCGTTGATACAGTGGGCCTAGAGATCGGAGATTCGAAAATTGGTGTCGGCAAGAGTATAGATTAGATTAGAATTGATATTATCTGTATTTCATGCAAAAAACTACGCAAAATCATTGCTTAGTTTATATTGTTGAGTAGTTAATCATTATAATTTAAGTTAATTTTAAAGTTGATTTGTGTAATACTACTGCGTATTGTTTAATTATTGTAACATATCATGTTCTCCATTGTAACAACAACTGGTCAACACCTTTAATTGTTTTATTACAGTTATGTTGTTATTTTAGAAATCGGTAATATATTGCAAGATTGTAGGATAGCGTTGTTAGAGCTTTCTAAATGAAAAAAATAACAATAATTTAGTCTCCGAGTGAGGATGATTTTTTTATGATTGAGATAAGTTTGAGGTTCATTTGATGGAAGGTAAAATGCCTCAGTCATGTGACATCTCAACTTTCAGAAATCCACAGAATGCAACCGAAATACGATTCAACGGCATTTTTATTTATGGACGATGATTCGTGATCTTATGCAAAATTATGATTAGGAATAATTAAACTAACTAGTTAGTTTAATAATGTAGAAGTATTTAAATAAAACACTTGAACGGTTTAAAACGCGATATGAGCCGTGGTCACGTCTATCCGTGATTACCGCTGCTGCAAAGCATCCGAAAACGTCGGGGCCTAAGTTAAAAATCATTTTCAAATAAGTTTAACTAATGTATCGCGTTTTAAACCGTTACAGTGTTTTATTTAAATGCGCACTACTCGAGTAAACTATAGACAGTATTTTGTTTTGTTTTGTTTTAATTATTTAATAATATAAGAATTGTCTATAGTCTACGCAAAAGTACACATTCCAATAATACTATTAGCGGTATAAAACGTGAAATATAATCGTAAAGTTATGTTTAATTTATTTTGCTGCAATGCATTCAAATTTCGAAGGTCCGTTAAATATAATTGAAAATATGTTACCTCATATATTTCGCGTTTCAAACCTAGAAAAGTGTTTTACTTATTATCTACTCCCTGTATGTGTGTACTGTTAAAAAATATAAATAAATTATTTTTAACTTAATTTAACTACAACCAGACGTTTCGAATGTTCTGCGCCCATGGTCATTACAAAATAATAATACTAATAAATTTCGCGTTTTAAACCGTTAAAAGTCTCTCTATATCTCGTCTCGCGGTAAGCGGTCAGTACCTCCTTGTTCTGTCGTTTAGAGCCATTAACCAAACATTATGGTCATAAAGCCGAGGCAAGCCCCCGAAATATTAAAACCTTCTTTTGTAACTATTTACAGCAGATGTGCAGTTAATGGCTGAGTTGTAATCTATGGGCGGAGTCGGGTGACACAGCTAGTTAGGTGACACGATATATTGTCGAATCGATACGGAATTAGGGGATGTTGTGCGTAATTTGTATTATTGTTGCGATGAACTTGTGTGGTCCATTTAGCAGTGTAGATTCGGTGAAATAAAACATTTTAAACGGTTTTAAACTCGAAATATATTAGTTAACGTATTTTTTAAACACGCTTTGTTACCACAGTATCATATCTGTAAAAATGTTTAATGACTGTTACGGGTTCGCTTCCCTCAATAATCGAACACTAATTTTATTGTTTTCTAAAACATGTTGGACTTTATCTAGAAAATCTTCATAAAACGAGTGGAAGGTATCGATATTTCAACCCACACAGTTGGAAAATTTACTTTCCGGCTATACTCTGTGGATTTCTGAATGTCAAAAAACCAAATTTCAAAAGATCGTAAACGCATATTACTGATGTTACTGTAAACTTAAATAAAAAAAAAAAACAATAAATTAAGACCTCTATTATTATGCCATACTGCCCAATGTATTTTTATCAAGTTTTTCACTTTTGACTAATAATCAACCGGGTTGTTCGGTTAACGTATTGCACTTAAATCTATTTTGTATTTCTCATGAAACACGTTCTTCTAGAAAATCTATAGCATATACAGGATGGTGAAAATATTGGCAATTTCATTCGGTACCAAATGTTACAGGTTATGTGTGGATTTCCGATTTGCAAATACGAAAATGGCTGAGGTAATCTACCATATATCAAGGAAGCCTGCTTGTTTGCCTCCTTTGTTATTTTAACTACTAAATTTGCATTATAAATCGTTAAAGTTCAAGGTTTAGGTTTAAAGATGTTTATTGAACTCGTAAGAATTTACAATTCCCTTAGAAAATCATTGTTTTATAAATAACTTTGGTGTACCTCAGGCTATTTTCATATAAAACTACGATTATAATAGTTTATTTTTAAACAAGGCTAAACTTTTTGAAAATTAATGCTGCTGGGCAAATTGTTATACATAATATGCACTTCCCTCAATCTGGTTCGTTTCCCATATTTGTATCGTCTTTAAATCATTTAGTTGCCTCAAGTTGTAATAGCCGTTTCGTTTAGACTATGGCCAAATATATTAAAAAATAAAACGAAACATATAATTAATTATCACACGATTTATTTTACAATAGGCAAATGCATACAAATTATATTACTCTATAGACTATACATAACTTATTCTATAATCCTAGTTTAGCTATGTTGGTTACTCTGGAAATGCCTAATGGCGGGCTGATTCAGTGCTGCCAACCGCGGGCTCGCGTCAAAAATAGTGTTGCGACTAATCGTGTCCTGCCGTGTATCCGCCAATTTTGTCGCGCTGAAGAACGCCGAGGTCTGCGATTGTAGTAGGCTCCCCGGCAACGGCTGTGTCCTGTCTAACCGAAATTGTAGATTCTGCTTCTCCATTTGATGGTGTTGGGTTCTAACTGCGAAGCGGTTCACGTGCACTGGGATTGGCACCACGATTTTGGTGCCGGCCGTTTTGCTTCCAGCGTGGCTCCCGGATGCGAGGCCGGCCTTTACACGTTTCCATTTCGCCCGGCGGTTTTGGAACCATATTTTGACCTGTAATAAAATGCTAATATTATTTTTAAGGAATATAATGGACTGCTTTCGTTCGGCCTGTGCATTGATTTGATAACCCAATTAATTTATTATAAATCGATTATTTCCATAAAAAAGGGTTCTTATGAGTTAATCTGAAACACATATACTTTGAAGGGCATTTTAGTTTATTTAAAGAAGAATAACTACTTTGTATGTTTTTGGTTATCTCGAACCGTTCTCGCGCACGTAACGAGAAATAAGAAAAATAATTTTCACCGTCATTTCACTCTGTTTCGTCGCTATATTAACATGATTTTTATAGCCCAAAGCATTCCTCGATTAATGGTCTAATAGAAACAAATTTTTTTCGAAATAATAGTTTCTGAGATTAGCCCGCTCCAACAAATTTTTCATTCTATAATGTTAGTATAGATGCAATCCATTCAAGTTATTTATCACACATATACATACAGAGTCTAAGCATTGAGAATCTTAAATAACGAAGAAGAGAAAGCTTACCTGAACCTCACTAAGTTTCAGCGCAGACGCAATTTGCGATCGTTCCGTCAGGCTAAGATACTTCTTGGCGTGGAACTCCCTCTCGAGTTCGAGTAATTGTTCTGAGGTGAATGCCGTCCTTCGTCTTCGGGCTTTGTTCTCTCTTGGCGCGTCGGGGTCCTCCGTGTCGATTTCTGATTCGTTACCTGAACAAATTATTGATCTAGTTAGGTTTCATTAAAATTATACAAAATTTTAACAGTTTTAAACGCAAACTTTTGATTGAAATTAAAAATAAATTAACTAATATATTTCACGGTTGAAACCGTTTAAAGATTATGTTTAAATATTTAAACTGGTGTAGAGTTCCAGGTTTATTTTGTTTAGAGAACTAAATAACGTTCAGGGTAAAAAACAGGTATTCAGAGGCTTCGTTTTCTTCACTTTGACCATCTTTGACAGACAAGCATTGCATTCGCTTGATGGAAGGTGGAATACCCCATACATATCACATCTATTCGAGATGCGTTGCCGTCCTATTTTCGGCTCTGGACATTCGGTAATCCAAAGACTAAAGTCAAAACACAGATTAACACTTCATCTGTGGATGGTGGTTTCCTAATGATGTTTCAGTTATTGATTGGTAATAACGAATATTAACTGATGGAAAACGAACCCGCAACCGCCGAACCGGTCAAAGTAACTAGTTTTTAAATAAATGTCTACATATACAAGCAAAAAAATTCAAGCGATCTGTTCTGCTAGAGTTCTTTGATTAAAAATATCTCTCCAAGGGACGAAGACATTTCCCCGGTTGTAAGGCGAATAAAAAACGTAATGAAACGGATTTGATGTGTCAATAGTCAGCAGCGGTCCGGGATCTCATCAAATGGACAGTAAAAAGCGATGGCCGAGAGTCAGCACCACGCCCATCGCTTGTAGCCAAGAGTCGGGGGAGAAAATTAATTTCGTTTTTTACTTTGCTAATGTCATTTACTAAACTCTCTACTGCGGCTTGGTCCAGGGTGAGAATCTGAGGTCAAATGTTATTTCGGTCCGGAATTTTCAAAGTAGAACGACTTAAATACTGTCTATAGTTTATGCGAGTAGTACACATTTTAATAAAACACTTCAACAGTTAAAACCGCGATATATTAGTTAAACTTATTTGAAAATGATTTTTAACTTCGGCCCGACGACGAGTCTCCCCGTGACCACGTAACCACGGCTGCTGCAAAGCGTCCGAAACGTCGGGCCGAAGTTAAAAACAATTTTCAAATAAGTTTAACTAATATGTCACGGTTTAAAATAGAACGTCTTATCCAAACTCTGGTCTTCTATTTAAGCTGCTTCTATGTAATCCGTTTTTGAGTATCATGGGAGCCCCATAGAAGACAGGGTTTGACTCTGACATCTATGGGGAGAGATCTGTACTCAGAGGAAGAAACAAAACAGAATAGGTGATAGGAATATCGAAATACCGTCCGGGTTACGAACCACCGTCGACAGATGAAACAACCGCGAAGTTTAATCGCGTTTCGATTTCAGTCTGTGGATTTCAAACTTCAAAGCCAAAGAATACAGTACACCTTGTTTGGATGTCATATGGCTTGGAAATTTCAATCCATGCATGTCTGTCCTCATGAACAAATACAGAATGATGCCATCATTCTTTCTAGTAGAATACAACACACACACACACACACACATACACATGACAGCACAAATTGAGCAAAACTGTTTAATGTGCTACTTTGCAAACAAGCAGTACTAAGTAAGTAGGAAAAGAACGCAATATTGTACTTATAACGTCACATCTCGGAAGCAATTGAAGAAATATTTTTTTTACAGCAAACGATAGCACAACAACAAATCAGCCCGAAAATAATATTGGATTTTTTTTACAAAAACTTTTCAGTACGTATGTATATTATATGAATCAATGTGCTAAACATTAATACATACATATCTACTTTAAAACTAAACAGTTTTTGACGTTTAAGTGCATTAACGCTACATATGTACATTAATTGGTAGCGATTAATGTATTCCAAAAGACAAAGTGCTAAACTAGAAAAAAATTAGTATTCGCGCGTGCATAATGCAATTTCCACGAAGTGAGACATAAAGCTTCGCAAATAAACTTATTTACGGTTTATAGACGTTATTGCGTGGACAGACATTGACAGTTATCGAACGCGACAATTGAATTGTAAAAAAACTCAAAAATCTCATACTTAAACTCAACCTTATCCACATTGCAATAAAGTCCACATTGCAACCAATAACTTATAAATACAACATAAAATCAATATCAATCAAATTGGACTTTATTGCAATAGCATTAAGAGTTATAATATCTGAATCTCGTAAGCGAATAAAGCTCCCGCCGTCCGCGTTCTGAATTTAAATTTGGTATTCGGAGAGCGGCGAAGTTAAATCGTTCGTGAACTGTTAATATGTGTATTTGAGTCGATATTTATCGTACATCAGTCGATCGTGACGAGTGACATGTCGATAGAGTACACCACTAGTGGCTTGTTAGATATGTATCCTGCCTACTTGTGTCAGGTGAGTTATAATCTGTGGTTAGCAACACAGTACAGCATTAAAGTTATAATCTGTATACACGAGTAGAACACGTATATAAAACAGTTCTAACGGTTTACACGAAATATATTAATAGATATACAAAACAAAAAAAGTCGACACCACATCTTGTTAAAAAGTTATATGGGGTATTTACCCCCTATTAATTTCCAATTAGCATTGTGTATATTTATCATCATACTTGTTTGTATCAATACGCATAATGTAATAATAGCGTTTTGTATTAAAATTCACACAATATTCTTTTGCAATGTGAGAAATTTAAACCGATTCGCGACGTGCACTTCATTTAAATAAAACTTTGCATGGCAGTTACGAGTATATGGACTTACAGCGCTTATATTTATTCTAGAAAACGCAAAGCGCCACTTCTTATGGTTCAAAGAACTTTCCTCGTTACTAAGAAGTCTTAAGATCGGTTAAAAAATAAATAGTCGAATTGTATAAAAATCCATCTATATCTATACTTCTATACTATAATATTATATATGCGAAAGTAACTCGCTGTCTGTCCGGCTTTAACTCCAAAACTACTGAACTGATTTAAATGAAACACAGAAATTTTAGAGCCTGACAAAGGACATAGGCTTTCAATGCCAAAAAAGGGTTAAAAAGGGAATAAAAGTTTGTATGAAAATTGATTGATTGATGTGGTTTGAAGTAGAACAATGAAACTTTCTTCTTTGGCTTTTTGGGAATATGAGCGGGAGTGGGAGTGAGAGGGAGAGTGGGAGCGAGTGTAGAAAGGAGAGTGGAAGTTAGAGTAGGAGTTATGTGAGGTGAGAGTGTAGCGGCAAAGTAGCACTAACAACATAGATTGGCTGCCTTAAATGCGCCCTTACATACATTAATAAACAGCCTAAATAATTAAAAATTCTACCCCAACTTACTATTCCACGCGGACAAAGTCGCAGGCACAGCTAGTTATATAATAAAAATATATGAAAAAAGGTGTCTATTGTTTTACGACATATATGGGGCGAACACATTTTTATATCCGTTTTACTGATCAATTCTAAGTACGTGCAATTAGTTGATCTAATTCTGTGTCTTGTTTGACCGAATCAATTTATTGTCTCCTTTGGATTAGAGCTTTCGTTTTTAATTATCGCGTTACTGAATCAATAATATGCAATCTATAAATATATTTATGTTCTTTGATAACTCAACTTACAAATTTCAATGTTAAAATTGTTGTTAGCACAAGAAGTCCTAGGTGCGACTTCTACAAACAATATATTATTTTAAGTTCGATACGATATATTACGATGTATTAGTTCGTTCAAGTATTTGCATTCGATCAAAATCAATTATTGAAACTTCATATTTAGTTTGTTGTCGTTTTTTTCTATTTGATAATTTGACAGTTTCCTTTGTCAATTGTCAGCTGTCATTTCGCACGGCAGTCGAGGTCTAAAGAGGCCGTTCGCGATTCAAATAATTTCACGGTACAGATGCGTTGTAGTGGCGTGACGGAACCCGATAATTTCAACGGGGCATCCCTAATTGGGGATTTACGATTTTTCACAAATTGTATCGATCTGCTTACGATAAGTGTGAAATATTGTTGGCATTTTATGTTGACAACAAACGTTGTTTGAATAATCTAATCTCTATAGAACATTAGGATAAATTTAAGACTATGGGTTCCATGATGTTACCTAATTGATGTAAAAATTATTTATTTATTTACTGAACGATAAGAGACACTTCGTATCAGCGCCAGCAGAGTACCTATTTACCTATGATTATAGTAGGTATATTATATAGTAGTTTACGCCTCATATAGAGTTTATTACATTAAATAAAACCTAGTGTTTAAATAAAATATAAAACAATCAATTTTAAATTAATTTCAACCACGTCCAGACATTTCAGGTGTGCACTCTAAAAGCATCCAAAACGTCAGGTTAAAATCAATAAAAACAATATAACGAATATATTTCGCGTTTTAAACCGGTAAAAGTTCTAAAAATAAAACAATTACAGACACATATTACGGGTTATTTCAATTTCCTAATCATTGAAACAATTTATTCCTACCTTCATAACTTTATGTTAAAGAAGTAAGTTTCCCTCCCGTGGGACATGGAGCGAACGCAGTTTCACTGAGCAGTTTTATTTACAGCCTAGTAGTTAATCAAACTTTTGTGGTCCGACCGAAATAATTGTTTCCCCGGGATTTGAACCCAAGACCTCTTGCTGCGCTTAAGTAAATGTTAGGTAACGTTTAACCATTTAGCAGAGGCGGTATATTTGATAATTAGGTATTATTCAATTTTTCTTTTCTAATAGGTACTCAAAAATCTTTTTTAATACCCAACCGATCATATTGTAATAAAGAAGGATAATGGAAAACTTTGGCTTGCACGTAGACGCTTTAAGTGGTAGGTAGCAATATAGAAATTCCGCCCGGGTCACAACTCACAAACCACCGTCCACACAAAAGCCGTGAAGTTTAATCAAGTTCGGTTTTAGTCTGTAGTATTTCCGAATGTCCAAATTCAAAATACCGACCGCCTCTGTAGGCAAATGCTTAAACTTGGCATTAAGCGCGAGAAGTCCTGGCTTCGAAATCCCGGGAACAAACAATTGTTTCCGTCGAGCAGGGCACAGTAATCTGATCGACTACTTGCCGTTTAAAGAACCGATCAGTGAAACGAACACGAAAATGTGTTTGCCCCATGCCCCACGAGGGGGAAACGGGATTTCACTAACTATAGTGAAAAAAGGTCGACAATGCCTCTAGAGTGCTATAGGCTGGGGTTCAGAGTAACCACATGTCTGTCAGTCGTCCTCTATCATTAATAAAAAACATTTTATATTGATTAAAGTAGAAAACTTTACTGAACCTAGAAGGTACAAATTAAATACTGTCTATAGTTTACGCGAGTAGTAGACTTTAAATTTAGCATAGAAAAACATTTTTGCAGCAGCTAACGTGGCCCGACGTGGTCACGGGGACACACGGCTGCTGCAAAGCATCCGAATTCCGAAACGTCGGACCAAAGTTAAAAATCATTTTCAAATAAGTTTAACTAATATATCGCGTTTTAAACCGTTAAAGTGTTTTATTTAAAAGGTACAAATTGTCAATAGATATTTGTTCTAGTTGTAGTGTAGTAGTCATTTGTTAATAATAAAGCGAATAGTGGAACATTTTATATTAAAAATGTCAGTTAAAACAGCAGATGATCTGGATAGGTTTTATTGCGGGAAAAATATTTTATGTAAGAAAACTTGTAATAATTATTACAATTTTGTGTTAAAAATTATTATGTCAATTAAATACGTAATGAATGAAAACTTTATTTTTTAATGATGGATATATAAATTAAAAACAGATTATGGACTGGCAGGTAGGAATTGGTTAGAGCAATAGCACGGAACACTGTTCAAGTCCTGCCCGTGATAAATTTAACTGATTTATAACCATTTTACTCCAATGTACAGTTTAAATAAACACTTTAACTTGTTTGAAAATTATTTTTAACTGCGGCCCGACGTTCCGGATGCTTTGCAGCAGACGTGGTCACGGGGAGACTAAAGATGGAGGATGTCTCTGACAAAGTAAAAAACTACTACGCTAGTCTTCTGCACGTAAGTGTAAAATTAGAAGATACCAAACCACACACCCCTTTCCCAAGGTTTTCCCCGCTGGGTTTGAAAAAACAAACGGCCCTTAGAGTGTATTAAATTCAACATTCGTGAACGATAATTGGTATGTCAAAAGCCAATTTATCTATTTGTTTGTTTATTTATACAATTAAAACGGTCAAAGCCGAACCTTAATTCGCCTTATTTATTGTTGAACCTTAACTTGTATGAATTTACAGTTTTATATTAAAATAAGTTATATGAGGTGGCAGACAACTTTTTAAATATTTTGGACCGTTCATCCACGAAGAAGTCACATTTGGGTCAAGTTAAGAATGTATCAATTATCAATGGAAATACTGGTTGCCTGGAAGAGATCGCTTATTAGCGATAAAACCGCCCATTGCACACCGTATTTTTTGTATGTCTCGTTTGTATTTTTTATTTTATTCTGTGCAATCAAATGTTAATAAATAAAATAAACACAGAGTGTGTTTCTGCAACACGAACAAACATACACGGATAACTTTCTTCAAAACTATAATAATTATAACTTTAAAATTTATTTTAGATTAAAAATAATGACGCGGGTGGAACTCGATACCACGTCCACATCGTTCTGTGCTGTTTCTCCATCAATAAATCTAACGTGTGTAGGTAATATTAGATCTCGTGTATATAAACTCATAACGGTTTTAAATAGGAAATATAGGAATAATCTATTTTAAATCTACATAAACACGTCGGATCGTAGAAAAGTAGATTGATGATTAGATTCCTACTCGAGTAAATTATAGATAGCTTTTGCGTACTTTAACTTGGGAAAATGAGACTGTTTCAGGTTGAATTCTATGGTTATATTGAAGTTTATTCACAAACGAATCGAGATCGCTAATAAATATTTCAATATTATTAAATGCACATAAAGAGCTATGACATAAATTTAAAAAAAAATAGATAAATTGCAGCTTAATTCGTTCAACAATCAAACAAAATACAAATTAAAACTGTATAGGTATTCTATCTTATATATATTCTTATTATAGCCAATTACGTTTAAAATAAAGTACCTACGTATTATCTCTTATTTATTTTTTAAAAGCACAAGAATATCCTTTTTGAAAAAGAGCTCTTACCCTGAATATTATCATCAGCACCATCGCTCTCCTCGCTACCAACACTAACCGGACTCTCTCTCTTCTCATCTTCTCTTTCTCGTTGCCCCTCAAACATCCTCGACAGCCACGGCTCAGGATAACCCAGTAAAAACGGAAAGTTTACGCGTTGCTGTAAAAACGGTCCATTGAAATAGAACTTCATTTGTTCATTCCTATCATCATCATCGGACTGTCTAGATAAGTCTGAAATATTATTCTCTATATCGATTTCAGGTGATTTTCTATCCGTCCCGATGATAGATTCTATAGAAAATGGCTTGGGCTGTTTCCTTTTCGTTTGCGTTTCGGAATCCATTGCACACACTTTTATTATAGTCTACAATTTGTTACAATTATTATCTATGTCACTATCTAATAAAAGAAAGTTGTATAGCACTGGCTGGCACAAAACGAAATTAAAAATTTGAAAAAGGAACACGCGCCGCGTCCGCTCACTGCGACATCGTAGTGATGTACTCGCACTTCTAAGCTATCGACGTCGACACGCCCACATACGGGGTGTAGACGAAGTGTAATTTTATTTTATTAATGCTCAACGTTGTCAGGCGAACATAAGCTTTATTACTTCTGTTGTAATATCACTGTATTCTTCTTGCATCGCGGTCGAAAAGATACCATTCCTATCTACTGCATTTCTAATGTAAACCTTGTTTTCTTCATATAAAACCTATTTTAGAATCCACCTTTTTACACAACAGTGGCGTTCTGAAACAGACTATATCCACTTTGAAAATAGAACTGTTTCTTGTTGTTCTGTCGTTAACTTTGTTTCCTTTTAGTTTGAATATGGAATGATTAAGATCCACTTCGAGGTTTGTAAGCGCGAGATGGCATTAGATCTTGTACGTACGTTAGAAAGGGATAGATGAAGAAATTTAGTGAGCGAACAGTGGTAATTGTTGGTGATCAGAATGTTTTGCCAGTGTCAGCACTTTGTACAAGTTTATCGTCTTGTGCTTTCTTTAGTATCGAATAATTTATGTTGTAATTCTGGGTTTGTTTCCGCCAAATATATGAACACACATACACAACAGATATCTAGGTAGTTTATAGCTTTAATATTTATTTTAGATGAAAAACTCTGATGCAGGCCGGACTCGAAACCACATCCGCAGCGTTTTGTGCTGTTGACGGTTTTAAATGCAAAATATATAAGTAAATTTCAACTACTATCCGGCGTTAATTACTTTAGATGTCGCGTAAATAATAGACAATACTAGATCTTATGTACTTCAACGTGGGAAAATTACAATATTTCAAGTTAGTTTTGAAGACTTTTTGAACCTATATTGAAGTTTATTCTTACGAATCGACGTCTTTGATAAACATACCTATAAAGTACAGTTTTGCATTTAAAACCCCTAATACCTAAATATAAGTTTTTTTTTAATTAATGCTGTTTAGGATATTCGGAAATCTATATATAATCTGTAACGTGATTAAGCTTCACGGCTGTTCCATCTGTGGACGGTGGTTTGGATTATTAAATCTACATTGCTACCATTAGACCAACGACCCCTTCTAGAAGTCTACTTGTGTCATACTGCCATTGGCGTAAAGAGAAAAATCTTCACGATTTTCTCGTGTTGCCAGTACACTGTCCATAGTGAATGCTACCCCAAGAGTACAGCCATTAGTGGACAATTTGTCCCTCTCCACAGCCACCCCGCCTAAATTGATTGAGGCCATTTCCCTTGACCGACGATGAATTAGAGCCACAAACTTTTGTTGCTTCCTAACAACAGACTAGCTTTTAAATATTAATGTTGGTAAACATAACTTATTCTTTAATTTATTTTTAATTCGATGCGGCGCGTGGTCACGGCATCCGAAATGCTTTAAACCGTTAAAAGTTGCAATAAAATAGATGAATTCACTATAATACATTTCAGGAGAATTTTATAAATTAAGTAAGAAAATATAAATGAAACACAACTATAACACACGTATAAGTTTCGAGTAGTTAGTGTTCCCTTTATGTTAGATACAAACTTATATAAATAATTAAAACAAATGGAATAAGAATCACTAAGCAGAAAGGAAATAAACTTCTTACAGTCTTCCCGGGATTCAAACCTTAACTAAACTAAACTTAGTCTTTACCCCATATTTAGCTACGGAGGCGGTCATGTGATAGAAGAACAATATTCTCATCACTACGTACCTACCTGTTTAGTGTAAAATAAAGTCACTATCGGTGTCTATCCCTATAGGTGCATGCAATATAACTGCCCAACATAATCTAAAACGTACTTTTTACCAGGATAACATAAACCCAAAGATACATATTTTTGTCCCTTTATTGCATATTTCTCACTGTTTATTCGCACGTAGTGATCGCAGCCTGATGTACCTACTCCAACATAAAAATCAAATTGAACCAGTAGTTCTTAAGACTATTATTATATACAAACAAACAAACCCCTTAGCTTTATAATATTAGTATAGATCAGCATCGCACCCATGCAAGACTATATAAATAGTTAAAACCTAACAGAGCGACATCTAGACATGCCATTTGAATAAACGTCGAAATAATAAATTCAGTCCGTCTTAAAACACGACACACAACTCGTTCCGAAGTGGACATTTGACGATGACGCTTGATTCTAGTCTCGTGCTGATTTCACAGGCTAGACTTGCATTAGCCTCCCAAATTGCGCTTGCGCCTTGAATTATTATAACTACTTAGCTGAAAGGCTTAGAATCGTATTTTAAATATTTTCCTATTCTTGATTCTACAGTAGGTACTTTAATATCTGTCGTGTAATGTAATGTTGGGAAATGTAGGTAAAATATTAATTAAGTTATGTTACCTGATTGCTTAAATAAATTGTGTAGGACTTTTATCTTCTACTGTCGTTGAATTTGCGTAAATTCATTTTTATGATTTTTATTAATTTTAGCATGGAATTGTAGCTTCTACTTAGTGAATTTAAGGTTTAATATATAATCCAGTGTCACAAAGTGTTTTTAGCGTAATTCAATGTTAACGTTGTGAGAAAACCACGATTTAATGTAAATTGTGTTTTTAAATACTGTCTATCGTTTACGCGGGTAGTACTGTAGTACACATTTAAATAAAACAATTTAACGGCTTAAAACGCGATATATTCGTAATGCTACCAATATATTATTACGTATTTGTACTAATATATCGCGTTTTAAACCGTTAAAGTGTTTTATTTTAATTTTGTTTTTGTTTACTAAAAAAGGCGAAGTTAGAAAAAATACACTTTACATAAATGCGTGAAGACTTTTATAAACCTTGGTGATAACAGGAACGGCAGCGAATTTCTTCTAGGTCTTCTTCGTTCTACGAACATGATTTGGGAACTAGTACTAAATGTAGACTTTTTAACGTATCTTCTCAAATTTCTTTCCTAATCTTTACTAATCATTATATATATATATTACGAATATTGGGCAAAAACCAAGAATGGTGCAGTGAATTAGTACGTCAAGCGAAGTAAGCGAGACGCGCTAGTTAAAACTATAAAACGAGAACAATGGATCATTATTGACATCACCGCTATGATGGATGAATTATTCGCATCGAATTATCCGCTTCCCTGAGCTCGTTGTGTGATAATTGCTTTCGTACCGTGAATACGAAATTCGCTCTCGACGATTCCGTGAAAACCGCAAGGAAATCGGGTATAACGTTTTTAGTGTCGATTCAATCTGCGGGTAGTTTGTCCAGTGTTTATTCGTCACGGTAAACGATAGCATTGGGTAAGAGAAAAATCTATTTAAATTGAAGAATATTGACAACGGGCAGGTTTGAACTGGCATCCACGTTTTTTCAAAGATTTTTAATTCATCTCACAATTGACTGTGGCTTACGCGAGTATTACTACGCTTTTATTAGAATACTTTTAAAAGTTTAAAATCGTTAGCTTAGGTAAGTAAATTACGTTGTAACTGAAGTTGCTAATACGATACCTATCTTGAATATTCGTAAGATAGGGTTTTTTTTTAAATTTTGTGACAAAACTGAAGGGCAGTTCAACAGGTTCTGAAGAATAGTCATTATATTTTTACTTCCAAACTCCGTACTACTAAAATTCTCCTAGTAATAGCAAATATTTTTCTTGAGGATTCGAACCTAGGACCTCACTATCTACAGTAAAGCATACTAACCACTAGACCGACAAGTCAATATTATTCTATTTCCCATAATACATCGAACATTTATGTTGCCCCTTCATTACTAGCGTAATATTACAGTTCCACATTAAAAGTATAAACTGATTAAAATAAATCCACAAGCGACTTAACAAATCGGATTTCCAGTCATTAATCCTAAAATTGTATCGCGCCATTACGGACCCCCACATAAATCCATAACAACGTTAATATGAGCGGGAAATTAAATAAACACGCTGTGTACCGTTCCAAATTTAATCAGACGCTCCATCTTGTTCTACACTCCAAATTACTATACGTGTGAAAGAGCCAACAGTATTCCGTTATTGCGTTTCGAAGTTCTCTTCGTTGACTAATGTTGGCAGACCCGCCCCGCAATCAAGAACTAGAGCCCTGATTGGTCGTTGTTAATGGAGCGCGAAGTTCTTTTTTAAATTTCTTTCATTAGCGGCCAGTATTCTCTATTCAAACGATGATACCCCAGTGTTACCACGCTTCGAATAATCCGGTTATCGTTTGACACTTAATGTTGTCGCGTTTATCATAATAATATTTTATTCATGAACTAAATTGGGGTTTGATCTGAAATATTGTATCTACTGTCTTGTAATTGAAATACCATGAGTTAAAAACATACTTTTGTAGTGCATATTTGAAATTATATTATACCTATTGAAATATAATTTAAATAGTTTACGTTAGTAGTACACGTTTAAATAAAACACTTTAACGGTTTAAAACGAGATATTAAACGGTCTCCTCGTGACCATGACTGCTGCAAAGCATCCCAGTAAAAATATTTTCAAATAAGTTTAACTAATATATCGCGTTTTAAACCGTTAAGTTTTTTTTTAAAATTTACCTATTTTCTTATAATAGTATTTTTTTTCATTATTTAACATTATTAAATAATCTATTTAGTAGACGATAACTCCATTGAGAGAGATCTCATCGCTTGCTTACAACTCAATCCTATCGTTCCTAAATCTATGAGGGGGCCCCCGGGGGAAAAAAGGTTTAGGGGGTTTTGGGCTCGATTTCCGACACGAATTTATTGTAATTTACTGTTAGGAAAAGAAAAAAAAAAAAAAAATTTTTAAAAATTAAATGAAGCAAGCAAACCAAAACCAACGTTTCAAAAACAAT